ATGATGTTAAATTTAAAATTAAGTAATTTTTTTTAATATATTAAAACACTTGTAATTAATATAATATAAATAATATAAAAATAAATTTTTATATTATTATTTATTATATTATTATAATAATTTTATTTATTTATTTAATATATTTTAATTCAATAAATGATAAAGTAAATAATAAAAAAATTGAAAATTTCAAGAATTTTTTAAAAAAATTTGGATAATAATCAAGTTAAATAAATTTAAATAAATATTTATGTTTTAAATTATATTTATTCATTAGCGATTAAAATTCGCTGAATATAATATAAGTGATATATAAATAAGTGATTACAGTAAATAAATTGTAATAAATATTTTTATGATTTTAAATTTTTCTATTATTTAATTTATGTGCATTAAATAAATAAATAATTTCTATTAATTATATTTTTCATATGGGCAGTAATTTGGTAAATATATTTACTATTTAATTATTAATTTATATTATATACTTTTGCCATTGTCCTATACAAATTCAAAAATTATATACATTCTCTTTTATCAAAATATGTAATGAAAAGCATATTACATATATTTTTATTGTTATAGTAATAATCTATTTTATAAAATTTAATGAAAAATTTGCAGAAAAAATAAAAAAGAAATCAATTCAATAACACGAATATAAGTAAATATTATAAAGTAATAATTTTTTGCATATCATGATGTTCGAATATTAATGCGAATTACTGTATATAAACGTCAATTTCGTAAATTGATCTCGAGGGGATACGAAGCAAGCTGTGAAGAGAAGGAAAGAGAGGTTGTGGGAAACGGTGAGAAAATTGGAATGAAAAACCGTAAATCGAAATACAGAAAATCAAAGATCGAAACACGAGGCAGGCATCAATGAGAGATCAAAGTACTCGATACGAATCGAGTTCTTCGAAGCGAAAATTGCGTAGTTGTCGCGAACGGATGATTTGCTGCGCACACTCCCGCGCGTTCCCTTTGTGTTATTTTCGGGCAGAATCACCGTTCAAAGCTTTAAATAGGACCGACTTTCCGACAAAGAAGGTAGTTTGCAACATCGTTTCTACATGCTGGAACATCGCAGAATATTCACCGTGAGTAAATTAACCACGAACCAGTTTCACGAAGAAAACGTCAAACGATATTTTTTTTCCCAACCATGTATTGATAGAAAGTTGAAAATCATTTTTTAGAAAAGACTGTCGCAAAAACATTTTCTTCTTTCTTGCATCTTGTGCCTTGTCGTATTTGCGTTGTTTCGTCGTCGAATCGCGTTGAGTCAAGTCACATAGTGTCTCATCGCGTCGCATGATGTCGCGTCATACCGCGCGTCTTGATCGTGTTGTTGCGATGATCCACCTAAAAATCGCCGGACGAATTTTTGTTTGTTGAGATAAAATATACAGTGAAGATTGGATAACTGCACAAAAAATCAGAGTTATGGAATAATGAAATCGAATTTTAATATATATATATATATATACATAATTTATACAAGTGATATTATTGCGATATCTTTTCTTATTTTTCTAATTGAAAACAACAAAGACAGATGTAAGTATAATTGCGGTAAAATGTTGATTCGTATCAGATTTAATCCCTGTGGAAGATGGAAAATATATAATTTTCTTTGTATTTTACCGAACATAGAAGAAAAGAATGAAAATAGATATAAATGGATAGAAAAGATAGATATAGAAAATATATTTAATAGAAAAGAAAAAAAAATTAAAATAAATATATTTCGATATATATTTATATACAAAAATTCCCCTTAATGGTAAAGATAACAACTTGACACTTATGCCATAAATTATTTCATGCAATTATTCAATTTTTATTGTAGAATAAAAATTTATTATTTTTCGAAAATAAAACATGAAGATTTATAGTTTATCAAAATAAAATATGATAATGGAAAGAGAGAGAGAGAGAAAAATGGGATTAAAGAAGTTAGAATGAAAAGCAGATACAGTTTCAAAAGGATTAATAAAGTGGTTCGGTGATTCAGAAAATAGGCTAAGAGATAGTTCTCGATCGACTCGATCGACGCGCTTCCGATATCATCGCCAAAATTGTATCGCCACCTTGGCACAGTCTCGTAGTTCGAAGGAGTCGAGATCTCGATTGTTCTATTGAGTATTGGGCGGCAAAATCGTGTTTGATCGCGAGAAAAACAAATAGTTTTGCGTCGAAATTAAAAAAAATTGTGCATTTATTTTTTGTGAATAATATATTTTTAATGTATATTTTTTATAAACTTAGTAAATATAGATATATATAAATTGAGTTGGTGGAAAAATAATACTTCGTTTGGATTTTGTAAATGCAGAAATAAATCAATTTACTATGATGTATACATGTATTTAGTTTTTAAATTACTTTAATTTTATATAAATATTGTAAAATTGCTATGTAATCTATTAATAAATTTTTTTAAGATATTTACCAATTTATGTATATTAATAATTTTAACATTTATCCCTAGATGACATTATTTTATAATTTAAAATTCGATCAAATTTGATAAATTATTCGATATTTAATATTTCTTCTAAAAGAATTATATTTAAATTTTTTTCGAGATTGACATTCACATAACCGGCATTCTTGTATCAAATAAATTATTTAATTATTTAATAATAAAAAAAATCAATTATCAAAAAAAAATTTTTTTTATAATATATATAAATTTATTTATTAATTATTAATAGTTTTATTTTGGTACATATTGATATAATTTTTACATTCATTAAAAAAAATTAATAATAAATTCAATAAATCATATTATTTTCGACAAATCTATTAATAATAATATCCGAATATCAATTTTTTAAAATATTTTTTTGCGATACATATATTTAAGTATTTACATATTTTCTTATTATTTATTATTCTTATTACGATAATTAAAAAAAATTTATGACTGTAATTTTATTTACATTATTTTTGATATAAAAAATAAATTTTATGTAGAATATTTATTGATTTTTTCAAAAATCTTAATCCTTTGCAATTAAAATGAGTGATCAAAAGACAAATAGAATTCAAAATTAGGATTTTAGAAAAAGAAAGATAAAAATGCTAGACTGAAGCAAATTTTAATTTTATATTAATTAGTTATTTCTTTACAAATATTAATATTTAACAAAATCAAAAAAAATTTAAGTTAAAATTAATCTTCAAACTTTCGTTTTTTATAAGTATTGAATATATATGCTATCAAACATTTCAAAAATATGCTCGGATATTCTTGGAAATTTATTACTTGAAATTTTAATATTTTGTACACATACATTTCTAAGATAATAAAATTAAATAAATACCTATATTAATACCTATATTTATATGAATAATTAGAAACACAAATTGTTTTGTTTTATGTTTAATTACTATAATTGCTTAATTTACTGTTGACATAATGTTGACATATATAATAATATAATATTTTGTAACATAGAATTTCAATTTCCTTGTAAAAGTATATAAACTGTTATATTTGAAATTGTTTACCTTACCAGGGTCAAAAATCTACATATAAACTTTTCCACCAACTCAATGTATAATTGCAAAATAAATAAAACTTATTTCATATTTTATGAGAATGAGAAATATAGAAAATTACGATAATTAGACAAAGACGCAAAGATTCAAGCATTTTAAGAAATTTATGTCACATTTTTTATAACATTCATTTTACTGAATCCAAGAGAGATTTTATTTAGTAATGGTAATGATTTTTAAATATAGTATACATATATACATTTACTAACAAAATAAATTTATCAATTGTGAATTTTTTTATTTTTAATCTTTATACATATTTAAACAAAAATCATCGCTTATTATTATATTAATTTTTTCTTTCTATATTATTTTAATTAATTTAATGATTAATGATTATCTTTTGTTCGAATGATTTCGTTATCAATTTTGAAAAATTTTTAAAGAATTGAATAATGGGTACAATTACTGACTTAGATAATGATTATAACTATAATGATTTAACCATTTTTTTCCAAACCAATTTAAACAAATTTTATGTAGTATTTTGTGTATCTAAAATTATTATACAAAAGATTATGGAAATACTTTTCATTATAATATTTTTTTAAAATCACTTTACAGTTTTTTTATATAAAAAATTAAAATTTTTCATTAAGATTATTTATAGATTTTAATTAAAGATATAATATTAAAAATCAAGTTATAAAAGTTATCAATTTATAATTATCATTATTATAATTATTATATTATATATTATAATTATCAAGATATAGATAATGTAAAGTAAAAACAACTATAGATAAAATTAATTTTTTTT